CGCGGCACAGTCAGTCCGAGTCAGTCGGCGGCGAGGCTCGTCGAGGGCGCCACTTGCAGACGGCGTTTTAATTGGGTGGTTGAGGGGTCATTAGAGTCACCGCAAAGGCCTTGGAAAGGAAGACTCCCCGCCCTTTTTTTCCCTCAACCACCGGACCGCCGTCGCGTCGCTACACCGGAAGGGCACGAAGCGCAGATTTTCCCTGACGTTTTCTTTCCTTAATTTTTGAATCGGAGTAGCGGCCCGGTCGAATATGAGTAAAAATAATGCGTTTTGTGGCAGCACTGCCACCCATTCGCGCTTATGCAAGGCCGGCCGAGGCCAGCGTCGTGAAAGGACTCCGGGGCAGGATGTGCCTGCAACGCCCCGCCCCGCCCCGCCCCGCCCCGCCCCGCCGGTGTCGACTAATAACTCATCTCCATTCACAAAGAGGGCGACGAGATCAAAAGTTTTATATCACATCAACCCCTGCCGGCAAGCTCGCCGCCGAGCTCGCGCGAGGAAGGAAGGCATCACATTTCACTCTCGTTTTCGTTCTCTCCCTCCACACCGCCACCTACTCGCCCCCCTCCGACTTATCTTCCTCCGTGTCCTATAAACCATTGTCCTACTCTATTCCATTTATTATTACTTTTTTAAATCTCCGCGCTTGAGTTCCTTTCCGTTTCTTGCCTCCCGACGTTAACTGCGTCACGGCTTTTCGTCCGTGTGCCCTGTCACAATGTTTGCTGGTCCGCGCTGAACAAAGCAATACCCGGGCCGCGCCCAGGACACACACACACACACACACACACACACACACACACACACACACACACACACACACACACACACACACACACACACACGCCCTGCAGCCAGCCCCCTAGCGCGCCCCGCGATAAGCCCCGCCCTCGTCTAGCGCCCTCTAGCGCCCCTCTAGTGCCTTTCACTCCCTGCCGCCGCCGCAAACTACTCGACTCGTACACAATGCTTTGCTTGTGCACGCCGCGCGCACCACGCTAAACCGCGCAATTTTCGCGCTCCCCTCGCCGTCGCCGCCGCCGCCGTCGTCCTCCACTCCGTCTTCCTGCCTGTCGGCGCCAGGACGGGGCGGCCGGGGCGGCGGGGGCAGGCGCGCGCTGTCCGCGGTGACCCTCGGACCCGAGGTCCAGGCCGCCCGATCCCTCATCGCACGGCCTAGCGCAGACTAGCGCCGCCTAGCGCCTGTCAACGCCAGCGTAGGCAACCCTCCACGCGGCGCGGCGCGCGCGACGGCTGGTTGCCTACACCGCAGGCGCCGTGCGGGACTGCAGGCTAGCAGGGCAGCAGGTTAGAGGGACGGGCGAACGAGCTGTGTTACGGCCCGGCCAGTAGGCTAGGAAGTGGGCAGGGCGGCGTAGGGGCGCATAGCGGCGGGGGCTGCTTTTACGAAAATAACACGACACTTCCGGGCCGAGGGTGCCGAGGGCCGAGGAGGGGAAAGAAAAACGCAGCAACAAATGGCGGGCAAATTACCCCGGCCATCACCCCCACCCCTCCACCCCCACGGCACGCGGCACGCGGCTTGCCGACGAGGCTTGTGGCAACGTGCCGGTTTGGTTCGGAGGCGGAGGCGAATATCCAGCCGCTGAACAGGTGGCGCGCTATGGCCGGGGCGGCACGGCGGCACGGCGGCAGCTGTCCAGGCTGGAGGCGAGCATGACGTGCCGCCAGAGAGAGAGAGAGAGAGAGAGAGAGAGAGAGAGAGAGAGAGAGAGAGAGAGAGAGAGAGAGAGAGGCAGCCCAACTTGTATGCCGCGTTAGCTCGCCTGTCTCGCTTGCCTCGTGTAATTTTTGATGCGGAAGCAGTCGCTGCAGGCTGAGCGTAGCCTCCGTCTCTCTCGCACGCCCGCGGACCGCCCCGTGAGAGCGAGAGAGACAGAGCGACGAAGCGGCGTTCGGAGTCAGCCTGCTGGCTGTCGGCGTGTCGGCGTGTCGGCGTGTCGGCGGCAGCGCGGCGTGCCCCGTCCCGTCATGGGCCTGCCGCCAGGCCTGCAGGCTGCTCCCGGACAGCGCCCCTCTCTCTCGCACCCGTGCAGCGTCCCGTCGGGGTGCGAGAGAGACAGCGCGACCGTTCGGCATCTGCCTGGTGGCGGCGTGGCGGCGTGGCGCACGCGTGACGTACGTGGAGCGGGACGCGGCATGCGCGACATGTGAGGGTCCGCGTCGTGCCCCTCCACTGTCAAGTCCTCGCTCTGCCGCTGCGCCGCTCCGCCCCGCCATCCGCCTCGCTCGCGATGCTCGACAGACACATGACGCGGCGCGCGGCTTTGAGGACGCCGCCGCCGCCAACGCCGCGCAACTAAAACAGACGCCCGCAAATTCGGCTTTGCCTTTATGCAGCAGGCTGATGTATCTCTCTCTCTCTCTCTCTCTCTCTCTCTCTCTCTCTCTCTCTCTCTCTCTCTCTCTCTCTCTCTCTCTGCGGTTGGGCAGCGCACGCGCACCTCGCGCACGGCCGCGTCGAACAAAGCGCCCGCCGCGCCGCGCGCCTCAAACGCCTCAAACGCACGCGCGCGCAGTTTGAATGAGATTTCGCTAATTGTCTCCGCCCGTGTCGCGCTGCCGTGCGCCCGGGGCTGCGCCTCGGGAGGGGGGCGCCACCGGTGGGATTTATTTTCATTTTTGGTGGTGCTGGGGGTATGGAAAATGTGTGGAAACGAGTGGGGGGGGGGGTAGAGGGTTGATAACAGCGACGCAGCTCCTTGGCCGCGGTGCCAAGTCATAACGGGAGGCGCGAACTGCCACACGGCGGCTGCGGGAGAGGGGGGGGAGGTTGCAAAGATATGCATCCCCCACCACGACCGCCTCCGTGGCCGCCTTCGGTGGTGCGACTTATGGGGGACACGGCGGGCAGGACGACGTGACGCCGGGGCATGCTGGGGCACGCTGGGGCGTGGGGCGCATTGTTGGAGGCGGGGGGTGAAATACTGCAGGGGCCGCCATGTTAAATATTTGTGCAGAGAGAGAGAGAGAGAGAGAGGGTGCGTGCGTCGTGAGCTCAGCGGAGGGTGCCTGCAACTGTTTCGAGCAGTCTCACACACACATGCTCCCCCCCACACACACACACACACACACCGAGCCCTTACTTACTCACACACATCGACAGACGAATAAAATGGGGGCCATCCCGCCCCCGTGCCTGCCGCCGCGTGTTACAGCCTTGCAGTGTAAGAGCCCCCCAGTGATTTTTGTTCCTGATTTATGACTCGGCCTGACACCATGTTTGTATTAGCACCTGCTGCCGAGCCGCGCGGGGCGGCGGGGCCGCGCCCACAGCCGCGCTTTGTGCTCGCTCCGCCTAAGGAGGCTCTCCCCTCTCCCTCTCCCCCTCTCTCTCGAATCTCCTTTGCATATCTCTCCCTCCCATTCACCGCGCCATCCACGCGTGTGTAATAGTTTCACGGTTTTTTTTTACGCGGAAGGAGTGAAAAAAAAGGTGATTCTGATTTGTCGGAACGGGAGTGTGGGTTCGCTTCGGCAGGTCAACTGCGGCTCTCGCCTGACCCCGGGCAGTGCACTGGGAGTGGCTGCCAATGGCATCCGCCCCGCCTCGCCCCGCCCCGCCCCGCCCCGCCTCGCGCTGCTCTTGCTCAACCTCGCCGCCGCCTTTGAGGTTGAATCTTTGATGGCGCGGCGCGGCGTCGCGTGCCTTTGTGTGCCATTGGCAAGAAGCGGATCTATTCATAAGTCATCTGGGACGTCGCGGCGCCGCGGCGGGGGCGGCGGGGGCGGTGGGGGCGGCGGGGGCGTCCGTTCCGTTGCCGCCAGCCCGCCAGCCCCGCCAGCCCCGCCAGCCCCGCCAGCCGGTCTGGCTTTTCACCTGGCCCCTGCCAGCCCCTTCCCGACCCCCCAGTGGACCACGCGATGAAAAATCCAGCAGCGCGCTTTGTGACACACGAAAGGTCGGGCGGGGCACTTTCCTCTGCGGCTCGGCGGGCACGCCCCTTCGCCGGCCTGACAGGCCGCTGTCACCGTGGCCGCGCGGTCAGGCGCGTCACACACCGGCGGGCGCGTCACGCGGGGGGCCCGAGTTCGAACCCCGCCGCCGGCGCCCCGCTTTTTCGACGTTGATTGGCTGACGGATCGGGGCCAGCCGCAAAAAAGTGGCGGGGTCACCCAGTCGTGTCGTCGCTCTGTCTCTGTCGCGCTCACGGGGCGCGCCGTTCGGAGCGAGAGAGACAGAGCGGTGATTCGACTCAGGTGGGGTGGGCGGCCGGCGTGGCCGGGCGGCGTCTAAGAGCGGGCCGTCATCGGGCTTCCTGCGGGGCGTCGGGGAGGGGGAAAGGGGAGGGGGGGGGGGGAAGGGGAGGGGGGAGGGCTGCTCTCGCAGGAGTCACAAAGACGGAGCCGTGGCGGCTTGCCTCGGCTTGCCTCGGCTTGCGCAAACTCACTCGCTCGAACAAGATTGAGCCCCGATTTAAACCGGGTTCTGAGAGACCAAGTTTGAACCGGGTTCGGACCGATCCTCTCGCCGTCACTCATTTGCAAGCGAAAGGAGAGAAAGGAGACGACGCCGCATCCCCCCCCCTACCTCCTTTCCCCTCCCACCTCTCCTCACCACCCGCGCTGCGTTCGCTGCTTTCGCTGCCTTCGCGGAGTTCAACTAGTTTACCGAAGAGCCAACTTGTTTGGGGGGGCCCTGACGTCCTCATATCTCAGAGGCAACACTTTGTAACACAAAACCAGAGTGCTTTTGCCTGGGAAAGCGCCGCGCCGCCGAGCCACGCCGACACCAGAAACTTTGCGGCAACCGGACCCGTCTCCGAACGCGTTGTCGCGCTGCGGTCGCCGTGGCCGCCAGTGGCGTGCCATTGTGCGCCGCGCTGTAGAGGAAGTCGCCGAAGAGGAAGCCAATGAGAGTGCGGCCGCGGCCGGGTTAGCCTGCCCGGCAGACTGTCTCTCTCTCGCACCGCCAGCAAGTTGTTGATCGTTATTCTCTCTTTCCGTTGCAGACGTGGCCATGACCGTGCGTAGTCGGCGGTAAGGTGATGCCTGGCCCCAGGCCCGGCCCCAGGCCCGGCCCGGCCATGGCCACGGCCTGCACGTCCAGGAGGCGGCCCAGGGCGCAGGCGGTGCTGCTGGTGCTGCTGCACTTGCTGTGGACCATCCCGCTCGGTGAGTAACCACCTCCGCCCGTCAACAGGTCGAGCGGTGCGGGTAGTGTCCTTGTCCTTTGTCCGAAGACAGTGTGGGAGCGAGTGCGCGGCCCGCCGCGGGACGGGACGCGCCCAGCGCGCCCAGCGCAGTCGGAGAGAGAAACCCCTTTCTTTCTTGCTTGCTTTCTTTCCGATTCACTCGGCTTGGCTCGCGGGGCCTTGCCCGCCCTGCCTTTCCGCCCCGGCGCACCTGACCGCACAGCACCGCACAGCGCCGCACACGCAGGGTCAGATCCTCCCCCTCCCCCCCACACACATTCCACTACACTGTGTCCTCGATGCTCATCTGTTGGCCGCGCGCGGTCCCACACACAGTCCCACACGCGACCGGGCCTTGTCCGCAGACAGACCGGAATTTCCGTCCGACCGCCCTGTTTCCCGCCATCGTGTGTGTGTGTGTGTGACACCACGAGCTGGTCCACTTATCACGTAACGCTTCGGTGGTTTCCCTCTCTCTCTTGCACTCGTTGACAGTGTGGAGGTGCGGAGCGCCTGCGGACGCGAGGGTAGGCAGCGCGGTCGTCAGGCGTGCGTTCCGGTTGCCTGCCGCCACGGCGCCGTGGCCGCCCGGCTGCGCCGCGCGAGGAGAGAGAGAGGGAGAGGGACAGGGAGAGGGAGGGAGAGGGAGGGAGGAAGAGAGAACCACAATTAATTCGAAGCGCAGAACTGCGTGCTATTGCTCTCGTGACTGCAGGCTTGTCTCCTCCCCCCCCCCCCCCCCCCACTCCGGTTGACGAGCCCTGCCGGGCCGAGCCTCGCGGTGATGTCTGATTTATGGAAATCTCGCCAGCTGCAAATTTCTTGCGCCGCTGCCCTTTCGCGCAGCTTTATTTTTTTATTTTTTTATTTCCCCGCGCGTCTTTCCCGGTCTTTTCCATGTTTTTTTTTCTCGTTTTGTTTTCTTTCTCCGTCTGGTGCCGTCTCGGCCATCATCCGTCTCGCTTGGCCGGCTAATGCATCACGGGGGGAATGATGATATGCCCGCACCTGTCCGTCAGGCCGTCCTCCTTCGTGATGATGAAAAAGGAAGAACTCCTCTGTCTCCCTCGCACCCGTCGGCCGGGCCGCGGTGGCTCGCGAGAGAGAAAAAGACAGGAGCGCTCGTTTCCTGGGCGAGACACACGCGCGCGGCCCTCCCTCGCTCTGTCTCTCTCGCACACCCGCACGGTCGTGGGCGCGCCGCACGGGTGCGTGTGGCAGGAAACGAGCGGCCAAATCAGATGGCGTGTTGTGAGAGAAAGCAGAGCGGAGGGCCCGGCCTGTCTGCTGGCAAAAAGGTGGAGGCTCATTGAATTACACAATAACATTTATTTCAGATACACGTCCCGTTCGGAACGTTCCTTCGTCTCCCAAACGGCCTTGCTGCCTCGGCGCGCCCATTAGCCCTGCCGTGCCGCTACAAGTGGGGTGTAATGTAAATCGATGTCCCCCCCCTCACTCCTCCAGAGGATCCCCACCGTAAATTCCATGGCGCAGAAAATCGAGTCCCATTCCGGGAAACTGATACAATTGGGGCATCTTTGGGCGCATTCCTTGGGAAAATGCAAAGCCAAAGCCCCCGCCCGGCGGCCGGCTGGCCGAGGCTGGCGCAGAGCAGACAACGAAGGGTGCCAGTTTCTCGCTGCATTCCACTCCTCGTTCGCAATTTTTATTTCCATTCGTGTTAACTGTCACTGTTTGTAATTTAATTTAATTTATTCACGAGGTGCGGCGCGAGGCGCATTTCGCATGCATCTCGTCGATGGGCCCGTCAAGCGCAAAAGGCCGAAACGACAAAACGACGCGCAGAGCGGCGCAGAGCGGCGCAGAGGCCGAAGGACGCTTCACTTTTCAGCTTGTCAACATTGACGCAGCAGTAATTTGGGCCCGGAGGCCCGATTCCGAACGGCGCGCTCTCCGTCTCTCTCGCACGCACGCGGCATGCCGGCCCGTCCCGCGAGTGCGAGAGAGACGGGGCGCATAGCGCGCGCAGTCGGCCGTTAAGCTGTTACTGACGTGGCTGGCTATGGCCGGGCTATGCCGCGCGTGCGCCAGCGCTGGCCGACCGAGGGGCCGAGGGCGTGGAGCCCCCGACGGGGCCCAACCCCAACGGGGCCCAACGCCAACGAGCGACCAACGTGGAACTAGGGCGGCCTGCTTAACATAATAGAGCCATTCGCAGAAAAATGAGTGGTTAATTAAAATTCGCGCCAATTTTGTTTTGCCCCCTTTTTTCCGTCGCCTTCCAAGTTTTCGTCTCACTTGGCCAGATTAACGAGGCCCCCGCGGATGCCTCTCGGGCCAAGTGCAGCCTGCACTGCAAAGTGGGGGGCCTGCGCACAGTGGGCCAGAAGACCGGTGGAGGTATTGCCGCAAAGTTGATCAAAACGGTCACAAATGTCTTTTTGAAAAATCGTGTTTTGGGCCGACTTTAAGCAGCCACTGCGTCTGATCCGAGGCGGTATATCGTCCTCCCTCAACGGGCATTTGGTCTTTGGACCTTCCTTTAGCATGCCTTCGTTACGGAGTGCGATTATCGGCCTTAGTTTGGGAGCAGTATTGTCTCAAAGTTGATCAAAACATGATTTTCCAGACATTTGTGACCGTTTTGATCAACTTTGCGGCAATACTTCTCCCAAACTAAGGCAGATAATCGCACTCCGTAACAAAGACATGCTAAAGGAAGGTCCAAAGACCAAATGCCCGCTGAGGGAGGACGAAATACCGCCTCGGATCGCACGCAGTGGCTGCTTAAAGTCGGCCCAAAACACGATTCTGGTCTGCGGTCACTGGTCTGCGGCCGGAGAGCCAAAGAGCCGCGCGGAGAAGTCCGCGTGTGTACAGTGTGGATCACCCTGGCCACCTCGTCTCGCCCTTCCGCGGCCTGGGCTGGGCTGGGCCGGGCACACGCTGCTAGCGCTGCTCATGATGGATTGCAAGGCCGAAATAAGGTCACCGACGGCGGCGGTGTTTGTGGCCGGCGTGGCGTGGCACGGCACGGCGCGGTGCTGCGTGCCTCGCGATCATTGGCAGGGCAGGGCGGCGCTGGCACACCACCACCACTGACCCCCAAGGGGGACCCGACCCTACGTGTGATTCGACGGCGGGTCGACGTGGCTTATTTCGAATCACAATGATTCATTCGTATTGCGTCCACACGGCCGCTGTTGTTGTTGTTGTTGTTGTTGTTGTGCTCGAGCACCGTCACACACAGACACAGCCGCACAGTCACGCACACGCGCACACTCCAAAAAATTGGAATGGCACTCCAGCAAACAGGGGCCGACTGCTGCTGCTTGTTCCGTGAGCGAGGACAAGGGGCGCAGACTCTACTACAATATAATATCGGTCCGTCGTAGTAAACATGACCCGCTTCAAGGCGAAATCTGCGTCCCCCTTCCTGCCGCCCCTTCCGGGCCGCGACGTGCTTGAGGCTGCCGGGGCTGCGGGGGCTGCCGGGGCTGCCGTCGGCGTCCTCGAGGCCGGGCTAGGAGACCGACGACGGCGGAGAGGAACGGCCTTTTTCTCTTTCCTCGGAGAATGTTTGGGGCGGCCGGGCCGGGGCGGGGCGCGGCCCGCCCTAATCCTTTGACAGGCTGCTCGTGTGTTTATCCGTGCGTGCGTCTGCGTGCTTGTGTGTGTGTGTGTGGCGGGGAGGGGAGGGGGTGACTTTTGTAACGCTTTACACGTTGCGTGCACCCACCTGCCCTGCGCCTGCCCGCACCGCCACCCCGCGGGGCCCGCCCGCCCGCCCCGCCCGCCCGCCCCGCCCCGCCCCGCCCCGCCCCGCCCCGCCCCGCCCCACCCGGCCGCGCTTCACACGTAGTGCCATCGATCACCGTTCGAGAGCTCCATCAAACTGACTACCGGAGCTATTTCTCTGTCAGTCTCGGCTCGGCGCGGCGGCTCGGCGCGGCTCGGCGCGGCGAACAAGCTTGTCCATTTCGCGGGCGCCACCCTTTTCCCGCTGAAAACACACGCGGCGGGCTGCAGTGGCGTGGCGGCGTGCCAAGGAAAGTCATTTCCTGTGAGCGCCAGGCGAGCGCCACCCGAGCGCCACGCGAGCGCCACGCGAGCGGCGCGCTCCTCGGCCAATCTCAACGTCCTCCTTATCATGACGTGACTCCACTGCGCTGTGCTGTGCCTGCCTGCCGGCCGCCGCGACCCACGACTATAACGACGGCCTCCCGTATTGGCAGCGGCAGTCCAGGCGCTGATTCCGAGCGCTCTGTCTCTCTCGCACCGCCACGGCAGTCGCGCCAGCCTGCGCCAGTCTGCGCCAGCCCCGGCAGTGCGAGCGAGACAGAGCGACCGCGATAGCGGCGCCAGCCGCGCGGGTCGCCAAGTACAGAATGTACTTTTATCACTAATCTAGGACACACGCTGCGCCGCTGTGGCGGGCTCACTCCGAAAAGTGCTGCGTCGTCGCTCTGTCTCTCTCGCACTCACGCGCCGCGCCCGTAGGGCCGTAGGGGTGCGAGAGAGACAGAGAGAGAGAGAGAGAGAGAGAGAGAGAGAGAGAGAGACGAGGCGGTGTGCAAAGTCGGCCCGCTGCAGGTGTGCATCGCCTTTTAGGCTGTCCGCGCATCGATTCTCGGCCCCCAGGTGGGCTGACCAGGTGAGCCGTTTCGCTTCACCGGCCCACGGCGTGCCTTGGCGTGCCTTGGCGTGCCCTGGCCGGCCCAGCCCCTCGGCCCGGCGACGGGGGACGGAACAGCCATCTGTCTTTTGTCGGGTACACCTGTGGGCACCTGGGCCCGCCCCGCCCCGCCCCACCCCGCTCGCCCGGGCCCCGTCCACCCCGTCACTGAGCGCTGTCTCAGCGAGGACAACAAGCGGGTCGATTTTATAAAATTTATTACAAGTAAAAAAAAAACAACAACAATAAAATAAAGAGAAAAGGCTGTCTGGCCGATTCGACACAACAATCTCAGAGAGGCAAAAGTAGGTCTAGCTTATATCCTTATAACTAAAGAAATTAAAAAAAATAATAAGACTAATGACAGGTGGAACTGATAGTGGACTATCTAGTGGAAAGATCTTGCGCAGGCTTCGTGCTTGTCACGCAGTGGAGCAAACAAACAACTCAGGTTCCTATCTCCTACCTACCTTCGGTCGACTCTTCAATCAGAGACGACTTACAAGAACGCAATCTAGCTAGAGTGGACAGAGGCGATGCAGATCCCGACTTGCTTTTCTTAGCATAAATAACTACCAGTGGACAATAAGGGAAGTTTATGGGGGATGCGTGATGTGAAAAAAATGGAATGATACAATGGATGGACTAGGGAACGGATCACGAGCGAACTAGATCGGAAACCGTCGGAAACTCGACTTCACGTGAGCATAATACTTGGTTCGGTTTACACACTAGAGCGCCCTCCTACAGCAGGCCGTGGATGGTCTTCATCGGGTACACGTCCACCGACACCACGGTGGCGGTGCCGTTGAGCGCGTAGAAGCTGACGCCGTCCTTGAAGGGGTCGGGGAAGATGACGTCCGTGATGGCGACCTCGCCCCGGTTGGCGAACACCTCGACGGAGCCGTGGTCCACCAGGATGCGCAGCTTGAGCTTGTTGCCCACCAGCGGCAGGTCGGCGCTGTGCCTGTCGGGGAAAAGGGCGTCGAAGTTGACGGTGCCGGAGATGCGGCGGTCGATGAACACCTGCCCCTTGGCCTTGTCGTAGCCGATGAGCGTCTCCTGGTGCTCGCCCTGGTACACCTTGACGCCGAACTCGGCGGCGCTGCCGGCGTCGAACTCGACGACGATGTCCAGCGCGCGGCCGCGGATCGCGGGCTCGGTGTAGTCGTTGGCCACCGCCAGGTTGCTTTGGTGAACGGCGTTGCTCTGTGAATGAACGGAAAGTTAGCCACAATGAAGTGTGCGCTGAGGCACGCAAACGCAAAGTTAAGTGTCGCTCACCAAGTCGCGCAGGCTGTCGATGTTCTTGACGGGGTTCTGCACCACGCGCACCTTGCCGTCGATGGTGACGAGCTCCAGGAGGCGCGGCACGGTGAAGGCGTTCCTCCAGGTGGAGGCGGGTGTCACCTGCGTGTACTGCCAGTTGGACATCCAGCCGATGGCCACCACCTCGCCGTTGGGCGCGCTGTCCCACGTGATGGTGGCGTAGTTGTCGGCGCCCCAGTCCAGCCAGCTGTAGTCGCCGTCGGCGTGGAACGTGTCGCCGTCGAACTGGCCGATGAAGAACTGCGCGGCGGAGCCCCAGCCGAAGCGGCTGCCGGGGTTGATGTTGACGATCAGCACCCACTTGGTGTTCTTGGCGTCGCCGTCGACGGGCAGCTCGAACATGTCGGGGCACTCCCAGACGCCGCCGGTGGCGCCCAGCCCGGTGAACTCGCCGGCGGGGCCGTCGCCGCCCTTGCCGTCGCCCCACTTGATGAGGTCGCTGGACTTGTAGAACTGCAGGACGTGCTCCTCGGACTTCTGCACCAGCATGAGCCAGTGGTCGCCGCGGCGGCTCACCTTGGGGTCCCGGAACTCGTACATCTTCTTGTCCAGCACGGGGTTGTGCGCGTACTTGGTCCAGGTGCGGCCGCGGTCCGTGCTGCTGGCGATATGCTGGCTCTGGAAGTGCCTGTTGGTGCTGTGGCCCTGGTCGTCGAGCGGCGAGTTGGGGTCCGGCACTTGGTCGTACGACGTGTAGATGGCGATCATGACCGGCTCGCCGGCCTTGGCGCACAGCCCCGAGGTGCAGTCCTTGTCCACCACCGCCGACCCGGAGAAGATCTGCTCGTGCTGGTCGTAGCTGATGGCCACGCCCAGCTCCTGCCAGTGCACCAGGTCCGTGCTGACGGCGTGGCCCCAGGACATGTTGCCGTGCAGCGTGGTCTCGTAGTCCGCCTGGTAGAACAGGTGCCACTCGCCGTCGGCGTACACCAGCCCGTTGGGGTCGTTGACCCAGCCGAAGCGCGGCGTGTAGTGAAAGGCGGGCCGCATCATGTCCACGGCCAGGGCGGCGGGGGCGTCGTCGGCGCAGCCCGGCAGCGTGCCCAGGATGATGCCGGCGGTGACGGCCGCGGCCACCACGGCGGCCACCACGCCCACCACCACGTTGGCCACCAAGGGTCGCATGCTGCAGGCCTGCAAACGGTGAAGGCGCTCTCGTCTCGGCGACTCGGAGAGCCGCTATTTATCTACTGCCGGCCTTCGCCGCCAATCGCCGCTATTTATGGCCAACGCGGTGGCGCCGCCGAGCCGCCAAGCCGCGCGGGAAACACCCGCCTGAGCGTCCCGCGCCAAATGAAACGAGGAACAGTGCACTGACTGCACCTAAGCCCAGGGCGAATATAGTTAATTCAGACCGGATGTACTACTCAAGGTCAATGTTAATTCTAAAATTTGACGCTCAGGAAGCCGGTACTGCACCCACGATGACACACGCTGCGTGGCTGCGTGCCCTAGTCACGCCGCCTTCCGAAAAGAGCCATTACTCAGACCATTTAGCGCTATCTGCGCAGAGCACTGTAAGTGCTGTTGGTGCCCCACTTGAAGTGCGCGATGCGTGCACTTGCCCCACAAACAGGGACACAAGTAGGACGGGCGACCGTTCCCGCGCGGCAACTCACTACTCACCCTGACCAGCCGGCCGCCGTCGCTGACCGGGCAAGACTGAGCGACGCGGTGCCCCATTAGGGGCGTGTGGCGTGGCGAGGCGTGGCGAGGCGAGGCGTGGCGGCTCCATGACGGCCTGCTTCGCCTTGCGTCCGAAGGGTCCGAAGCGACGGCCCCCGCGCGCCCCGCCTGGCCGAGACAGAGACACGGGGCGCACTATTCGCACGCGCGAGTGTCAACAGTGCGGCACTCCATCGCCACGGCCTCGTCGTCGGCCTCGCCGGGCACTGCCACGCGCCACCGCCACATCGACGCAGCGGTGAACAAAGGCGGCGTTTGATGGCGCGCGACGGGGCGGCGCGGCGAGGCAGGCAAGGTCAAGGACGCGCTAATCGGATCGAGCTATCGAAATATCGAAGTATATATTTCGATGTATCGAAGTGTGAGCCGCGCGAGGTTCGCGGAAGCGTTCCACAAAAGGCTGCCCACCACACACACTCACACACACACACACACACACACACACACACACACACACAAAAGAATGGCAGCGTGTGGTGATTTACTTGAAATCAAAACAGCTGACCTAGTAACACAGCATTACAAAGTGATAATCTTAAGCCGCGGAAAGCGCCCAAGCTCGAGTGCATTAAATCTTGTTTACTCGCGCGTTTGCCGGGTGTCACGCTACACTCGATGATAATTATAATCGCAAATCTCGCCGTTTTCTTCCTCGAGCGAATTCCACTGTGGTGGTTTTTTCCCGCGTACTATGTCGGAAAGGGGAGGGGGGCTGGACGATAACGCCGCGTTGTTGTTTGGCGCGAGGTTCAATTTCATAATTGAAAGCAACATGGCGCGGTGCGTCGGCCGCGTCTCGCTGTTGCTCTAATGACTGCACTCTGGCCCTGCTTTTTGTGGCCCTCGCGGCCCGCCCCCTAGTCAGCCAGCCAGGCAGCCAGCCCAGCCAGCCAGCCTCGACAGAAAGACGTCTTAATTCGAAGATACGGGCCGGGCTAAGTAGTTGACTAATTGTAAGGGTGTGAGTTCCAACGGAGTTCGGAGGCGGGGGAAGGGGGCGGGCGGAGGGGCTGCCAGTGTGGCTGCTTGCGATCGACGGGGACCCAGTCCGATCCCCCCTCTCTGGCAGTGTACTCCCCACTTTTGGGAATGAAATTTGCCGTTCGTCTCGCACGTCCGCCGAGAGAGAGCGAGACAAGGCGGAGCACGAATGAGTTGATGGCATTTGGGATCCGAAAGTACGACGAAAGGGAGATCTGGAAGGCAGTGCCCCGCAATCCCTTCCCTTTCCCGCCAAAATCAATGAGACATTCCACCGCCTTCTCGGCGGCGGCGGTGGCGGCGTCGAGGACGGCCAGGTAGTTCTGATGAGATTAGAAGGCGGCGGAACACTGCCGCAGAGAAGGCGGTGCCTTGCAGTGCCTTGCAGTGCTGCGGGGCGGAGCGGCGGAGCGGTTGCCTGCTGATATTAGAAGGCCACGCTCCCCTGCACGGCCGGCCCGATATTAAGGGGGGCTCCGGGGGAAGGGGGAGGGGGGGGGAGGTCGTGGGCGGAAAATGAACTGAGGCGCTCTTGCTGCTGATGCTGCCCTGTTGTTCCGTCTGTTCTTTCTCTCTCGGAGCGCGAAGAAGAAGAAGAAGAATGTCATTCGGCAGGACATGTTACGCGAGATTAAGACGGGGCGTTTCACAGTGGCACGGAAGTGGGGAGGAAATGAGTGCAAAGTAGCGGCGAGTTCTTTCCAATCGGACTTACGTCAGAGGACGACTTATAATGAGATAAGAGTGTGCGATCGGCCAAGTGTTAAGCCGAGACCGTGACTACGGCGAGGCCGCGACCTTGGTCGCGGAGCGATCGCAGAGCCCTGGCTGAGGCCGTGGTGGAGGCCGTGGCGAAAGTGGTCTTGGCAGAGGCCGAGGCAGGGGTTGAGGCCGCCAGCGCCGCACCGCCGGGGGACCGCCAGAAGCCTACGAGGCGAGGCCGGCAAGGGTTGCCTACCCACAGAGCGTGAAGAAGCCCACCCTAAACACCAATTAGCAACATGTAAGCTCCCCCTAAATCTCGACAAACTTTTTCAACTGCCGAAGCGGCTTCCTCAAAGACGAGCCTCGGCCGGCAAGTTGGCCCCCTCCCCTCCCCTCTCCGCGTCGGGGCTGCATTTGCCAAAACGCAAGAGGGGAGACCCCGAAAGCCGAGTGCAAAGTATTTCAGTTTCATCAGATTAGATGGCAGATTGCCCCCCGAGTTCCGGCCAGGGCCGGAGAAGCGTGAGGACGAGGACGGCACACTGGAAGACTCGCTGGAAGACTCGCTGGAAGACACTGGAAGGGAAGGCACTGGCAGGGAGTGGAGGCGGGGGGCATCATGGGCACCGTGAAGAGGACGACGTTCATCCCCGGGCTGGGCGGGCTTCGTCTGCTTCATGTCGTTTTCTCCCCCTACTCTCCCTCTCTTTCTTCCTTATTGGTCCCCCTTTCCGATCACCATTGCCCCTTATTCGATCTCCCTCTCTCTCTCGCTCGCTGTCATCTCGCTAGCAAAATTCTTCCGCCGTTGAGTACGCCACGCTGCTGTCCCCGCGGGCGGCGTGTTCCCGCTCCCCCTCATCCTCGTCGTCCTCTGAAGAATGTGGGTCACAAGAGTCGTCGCCGTGCAGCACCGCCTTTTTTTGTCTCTTTTTTTCTGTTCTTCTTGCAGTGCGCCTGCTTGAAACACACGCACAGCCCTTTGCCAAAGTCCGAAGTCTCGGTCGGTGCATTAGCTCCATTCGTCATGTGGCGTCCACTGTCTCTCTCGCACCTCTGCGGGACGCGCAATGAGTGCGAGAGAGAGGGCGAGCTTGTTCCTGCAGGACTCCGTCTGACTCCGTCGGCAAGGCCGCTGACTTATTCACGGACCTCCCTGTTGGAGTCGGCCGATTCGCTGGCCGAGAGAAACTACACCATTTCCAACCTTTTTTCCGGTGTACGTATCACACGGAGAGGCTGTCGCTTTGCTCTTCGTTAATTGTGCCCCACGCTGGCATGGCTGGCAGCAGCGGACTGCCTCCGCGGGCGACACCGCCTGTCTCTCTCGCACTCGCAGCGCGTGCCCGGGGTGTGAGAGAGACGGAGCGACAGATCGCCGTTCGGAACAAGTCTGCAGGCAGTGGCAGGCAAGGCAGACAGCTCGCGCGCTCCGCAGTCAAAGTGTCGCGGAGCAGCGGAGCACTGCGAAGCACTTCTCGTCTCGTCGTCTTGGCGCTAGGCGCTTTGGCCCCGACAGCGCAAACCGCATTAATATTTTTGAGCTGCAAAGGCGCGCGCTTCAAAATAATGGATGCCGACGCGCGACTGCCGACTGCAGTGGCGTGGCGTTGCCGTGGCGTTGCCGTTTCCCTCGGCGCCCCAGGGCGCGGAAAACGCAGTGGGGCCCTCAGTGGGGCCTCAGTGGGGCTCTCGTGCTGTTTTATCGCAATTGTTTCGTCGTTCCCGCGATTGAGAGGCCTTGACGCCGTGGCGCCGCGGCGGCAGCAAAACGCTCCGAGTTCTCCGTCCCTCTCCCCCTTCTTCTGCATTGTTCAACTTTTTTCTCTCTGTCTCGCTTCAGTCCGCCTGCGGACGTCCGGGTAGGCCATCCCGCCACACTCCCTTGTTTCACAACTTGCCTACCTCCGGCATTTAAACTTTTCCCCCTCGAAGAGCCGACCGTTGTTTACAAGTCGTTTATACTTTTTTTTTTGCCCAGGAGCGTTCCTGGTCCGGTTAACTACTTAATCGGCCTCACTGTTAATTCTCTTGGCAGGGTCCAGCCTAGCCAACGGGGCGGGGGACTTCACCGGCCGATGTCGTTCTTTTCGTTGTTGTTGTTTGTCGAACTGTGTGACTGTGACACCGCGGCGACAAACGGCCCATTTAGATTCAACTAACGCCATTATTTGCTGGTCGTGCCTGCGTGGACGGCGTCGCTCTGTCTCTCTCGCACTCAGGCCAAAGTACCAAAGTACCAACACCGGCCACCTCGCTCGGGTCTATATATTTTGTTTCATACACAATTTTAATTACTATCTTTGGAATGAGCCCGCATACTACCCCGTATAGGGAAACCGAACGAGTATTGACTGAGAAATTTGAAAGGGAAAAGAAAAAAATTTGAACTCTACACCCCCTCCCCAGTCTTAATGGGGAGGCCTCCTGCTTTACTTCGGTGTTCGGGATGGGAACCGGTGCTATCAGGTACCTGGGGTTAATCCCGTCAGCGACTCTAACGTTCGCCGGGGGACCCAGTAGGACCCCAAAGCTCAGGCAGCTGGGTGAGAGCACCCAGTACGAAGCTCTTTGAGGGGCGGGACGTAGAGTGAGACGACAGAGAGACAGAGAGAGACTCAGACAGAGAAGAGGTTTGGTGGGAGCTTCTTGTTTTCGTAGGGTTGGTTGTGTACCCCATGGTACCCCCACTGTCCGGCGCTCCCGTACCGAACATACAGCGTTTTAGGCCAGCTTCAAAGGACTTATCATCGCCTCCCCGACAAGTCGAGGAGGCACCACCCGCAACCAC